ATCTTAGATGGCTGCTCACAGGCTTTTAAGACCCCAGACACTATTCACCAAGGTAGAATGTAGAGCACTGTCTTTATAAGCTGTGTTATGCCAATTGAGCTAGATGTTCCCCGAGACCATGGTCCCCACAGCCCTCCGCCCATGTGCTAGGCTGTTTTAAGGCTTCTGTGTTAACTAATTCAATCAGAGCACCAGTTACTGAGATTGCTTTGACCAAACGGTCAAAACTGGATGCAAATTTTTAAGAATATACATAGCTTTTCCCTCCAGTAGAATAGTGATTTCTACTTTATAAAAGTATATATAAATATATAAAGGTGTATTTTCCAAAAGTAGTAATACTTAACAATCTTTTATGGATTAAAATACCATGAATAGAGGAAAATATTTCTTGGACTTTTACTTCTAATGTAGTTTGAAATGTTTTTTGAAAACACATGGTTTCCTCAGTTGCAGAGGTATCCATATAAGTAAAAACCTGCTTCCACTGTCCTCAGGTTTTTTCTAAGGCAAGGGATACTGCTGGTCTGCATACAGAGTACCTGATTCACTACCAAAGTCTATAAATCATTTCTACTGGGACCAAGAGTTGTTTTTGTCTTAACTTCTCATCATGTTTAATTTTGAGGGAATTACATGATTTGACAAATTAGCTTTCTATGGGGACAAAGGGAATTATAGACAATTGGCACATGCTATTGAATATAATTTCTGTTCCATTATATCATATACTATATATACATGTACAGATATGTAAGAGAAACTTTCAGTTGAAATACATTTGATTATGAAAAGAATAGGAATATAATTACTATCTTGTTTTTAACTTCTGGATCATCACTATCTATGACTTTTTTCTAAATTAAAATATTCAATCATCTACAATCAGTAGAAATAACTATTTTGTGATTAGATATAATTTATCATGATTTAAATTGTGAGTAGTAAATTTGCATGTAAATCATATGACCTACAACCCTCCATTAATACCACTGTGAGGAACATTCTAGGAAAAGAAAACTAGATACAGTAATAAAGCAAAAAGATTTAGATATTTATTTGTTTATTAAAATTTAAAAAATACTGCGAGAAGCTTCATGGGAGCCAGAACATAATGCACTAGGGCATTTCACAGGAGAATTACTGGTCTGTTAACACATATTAAATGACAATGTGTGAGTTTTGTGTCCTCAGAAGCACCTCATTCTGCGGTTCTAAAATTAGAGTTAACTCTACTCCATAATTTGAGATTACACAAATCCTTCTGGTCACCATTCCTGTTCCAAAGAAGGTAGGGATTTATGGAACACACTCATTCTGTTCATGGTTCATTTATTTTCAACCCAACCAGCTTATGTGGCTATACTTCAGTATAGCTACTACTTAACACTGGTCAATGCGGTGCTGATGCAGAAAATGAGGAAACGTTGGTCAAGATTTCGTAATAAAAATAATGCCAAGAGCAAAAGCCCAGTGGAGCCCTGCTCTTGGCTTTCTGTCCTTCATAAATTTTAGAGGACTTTCAACCTGCCTCATTTCCTAGCTAACTCCTACTCTTCCTTTAGAACATAGCTTAGCTGTCACTTCCCTGCCCTCAGATCAGGTTCTTCCTATTGTATGCACCGACAGCACCCTGTACTTTCGCACTGAAACACTCATCCCATTTTTCATTACTTTCCAATGGCTATAAATCCTACTAGACTGTACCCTAGCTGACGGCAGGAATGATCTGTTTAGGTCACCTCCCATAACCCAAGGTCTAGTTCTGTGCCCGATGCATGGTAGGCAGGCAATAACTATGTAATAAATGAATGATTTTCCCTGAGATATATGGGTTTCTCAAGACACAGAGCTGGGATATATCTGGTGACTACAAGCCATCAATCACCATTAGAGGAATGAGAGAGAACCACCACAGCCCTTGCCACTTATGTTCACATACATAATAAACATAGGACAGTAACAATTTGAAGAAAAGCATTGCCAAAATACAAAATCAGTATTAAGGTCAATGCTACTCATTCAAAACAACTGGGAAGTATTTCAGTTACCTCGTTTCAGCTTTGTTAAGCAGTGCCTCCCATCTACTATCCAAGAGACTCAGCTGTTTCAAAATCTTCACTTTATCTGCAGGTTCTGCTGTTGTAGCAATTTTTTCTCCTTCTCGTTTAATTACCTCCACAGTAGACTTGCGGTCATCCAACAATCTTTGAAGAAGCTTGAGACAAAACATTAAATGCCATCAAAGGAAAAGGAATAATTGTATCAACATAAAGGACACCGTATTCTAAGTACTTCTGATGTATGACAAACATGTGTATTTTGCACAGACACACATATGAAAGTATCTGAGAAGTGGGATTTAAAAAATAACTCATTTTGTTTAATAAATTCAGATTCATTATGTTAGACACTGTGGTGGGTACTTTTCATAGTAGACAAAACTAGTATTGACAAGACCACTAATCTCTTCATTATTAATTTATGAGTATAAAACATCGGGGTAGAAGGTGTTTTTTAGGATAACTCCACTGACTTTAAGGAAAGTGCACAATCTCACTATTACAATGAAATGGAGATGCCTTAACCATTCAAAGATTATATGCCCTTGTCGAGATAAAAACGACTATAATGAATCATTATTGTTTTCAAAGCCTTTTCTCACATTAAATAACTTGTTATAGACAGGAAATTTGAGATTTTGAGAGGGTATATAACTTTCCCAAGTTCTAAAGTTAGTGAGGCTAAAACTAGGGGCAAAGTCTTCTGTCTCCTGGCTCCTTTTACTAGTTGGGACTACCTCCTAAAATCCTTTATGAGAATGAAAACTAAGACTGAGCCTTTAAATATCATTTCCAAAAGGAACAGAGGGTGAAGCATGTAAGAAATCTCCAAAGCCAGCGAAATAACACTAATATTTCAGGATTTAGTAGCAGAAACAAAATTCAATTTAATTTTAATTAAGTATTTCAAGAAGCTGAGAATGGAATCTTTGATAGAGCCAGCCAGAACTCAGGATTGTCTCGCTTTAATCTAATTAAAACAAATATCTCATGAACAAGTGCTGAACACAGGTACTGTGTTAACAGCAATGAAGAAGGCACAGGGGTATAAGACACTAAATACTTTGTTACTTCCTCAATCTGGTCCTGACTGATAGTTAAAGGACAAAAGATTAGACAGTTACCCAGAAGTAACAAACTAAAAGAGTCTTCTCTCACTTTCATTTTGAGATCAAAACACCCTAAGCAAGAGGTAAGAGGAATATGTTTACAAAGAAGGGTAAGAAACAAACATTCTCGACAAGGGCATATAATCAAAGTAAAACAGGTGGTTTATTCAGCAGAGAAGCAATTAAGTGGATCAATTTTGACAAACTTTCATAGGAAGGCCTCTAGCAATGAAGAAAGCAAAATCAACAAATAGCTTCTGCTGGCTAAACATAATAGATCAACTCTGAAAGAATAACAGGTTTAAATTAAATTGTGAATCGTGATATTATTTAATAATTACATGAATGCAATGTGTTTCCAGTTATGTTTCTTTAATCCTTACCTCTAAATCTATTTGTAGTAATTTCCCAATATGCTGGAGTTTTCAACAAAGAATTTTCAGAGAGACAGTATTGATTGTAGTAATTAAGCCTTTTACTCCTCTCCCTTCCTTTTAAAGTTCTCACACCGGAGAAACAAATTTACCACTCTGCTGTGTGTTAGGCCCTTCCCTTATGTCATTTCAAGTCATGGCTGACAAACAGTATGGATAATATCAGTAAAGGCTTCATAACTGACCACCACCAGGACACCGACCAGAAATTGTACATGGTCACAAGAAGTAGCTGCCATCCCTCTAAAGAGTGTGTCTTCCCAGCTTGGTCCTTTTTAGTAGTGTCAAAAACCACAACAGTATATTCCTTACTATAGGTGAAGCAAATATTTGCCTCTTTAATATAGACTGAACCATAAGAAACGGCTGATATTTGACCTAAAGAAAAGGCAGTCTTCATATGGATCAACCTAACATGTAAGAGAACAACGTCCAAATGAAATCTTTTCAGGGAGGCCTTCCTTGACTACCTTATTTAAAACTGCACACCACCCTTCCCTCCACTCTAGCACTTCCTGTCTCCCAATCCCTGCTCTGTCACCTCCTAATTTCTATCCCCCACTCCTGCTTTATTTGTCACTTTCTACCTTATCAGAATTTTTTAATTTACTTTGTTTATTGTCTCTCTCTCTCCACCTGTGCCTCCCTTCCCACTAGACTTTAAACTCCGTGAGGAGCTTTTATCCTTTTTATTCATTGATGTATCCCCAGCACCGGGAACAGTGCCTGACTCATGGCATTGGTCCAGTAAATATTTGTTGAATGATTAACAGAATAATGTCTAGAGCAGCAACGATAAGTTAACCAGGATATCCTATTAATATAAATACAGTCACCAGGTAAATTTATGTTCTCATTATTAAAATTTAATATGAAATACAACACAAGCACCACTTAACTTACCTTTTGCTCTTGTATCTGGGCCTTCACCACTTTGAACTCGGCCGACGGGGGTTTCTGATTGGCCACAAGCTCCTCAGTGTCCACCATCCAGCTGAGCAGGGACTCCAGGGCATCCTGGAACCTCCCACAGTGCAGCAGGGCTTCCTGCAGCTGGGCCGCTCGCTGAGCCACCTGCAAAGTTCCCATTGCTCCAACTTATTCGGTTGTTTCATAAGAGAATGAAATCTGCCCATCGGCTGCCACTTTTCATGATTATTTTCCCACTTGGTCACAACTTATCTTTTCCTTTTCATTTAAAATTTACCCAAAGGATTGATACGAGGCAGGCCAGAGGTGGAAGGGAATCAAACTGTAGCATCTAAGCCACGAAAACAAGGTTACCATCCCAAACGGTCAATGTAGAAGACTGAATCTTTGAGATTTTGGAAATATCTGATAAGTTTATGATTAGCAATGAAAGATTAAAATATTTCCACGTTACTGAAAAACACAATGCATTAGTCATTTTCATCATTATCCCCAGTACTCATTTTTTATTTCCAACTCATGAATATCAGAAATAATGATGAAAAGACTAAGATGTAAAAAAAAAAAAAAAAAAAATCTATGATAGCAGAGAGAATCAGAATTACCTTTTACTAGGCAAAATAACTCTAAAGTATTTGATTAAATTCTGCTTGCTCCAAGCTCTAGAGTCCTTTTTCAACAAACTGGGGCCTTTGTCTTCTAGTAAATGGAGTCTCTGTGACCCACATAGAGATATCCTATTGCCCTTCTCATAGATCTTTTCCTTTTCGACTGAAAAAGTAGTTGGCAAGATATTTTAAGCACTATGGAATATATTTACACCTGACACTGCATTCGAAGTGTGTTTAAGAAGCACAACAATATGAAATGGATTTTAAAGAATGATAAATACAGTTTTAAGACTTGAAACTGCTTCAGATTTCAATACAGGGAGAAAAACAACAAAAGATCAACACTGCCATCCCATAACAACATTCTGATAATTTATATGTCACAGGAAAAACTGTCACTATGTCTCAGAATTATTTCCTTAAAATAGAGGAGCACTACTTCCAGCATTTTCTCTCTTGGAAACTCAGGGATAGGTAGGACCTACTTCTTAAAAATAATATTTAGAGTTAAAGGTCTATAGTGGGGGTGGCAAACTCTAAGTCCAGGGCTGACAGAGTATCTTTGGTTTGCACAGCGTTGACCTATTATACAGTGTGAAATTAGTTGCCAGCACTTGAAAATTGGAATTTTTCACATAAAAAATAAGATTTCCAGGTACTTTTGAAAATAAGCAGGCTATCTCGCAAGAGTGAGCCAACATCCCTACGTGGCAATGATTTGCTAGAGCAAAGTAGATACCGTACCCTTAGAAGTGTGTGTACTCTCTCAACATGGCGCCATGGTCATAGGCTGCTTCCCACTTCACTCTATCAAAGTTGAGAAGTGACCTGTTTCACCCAGCTCACTTCTTTCACTTATGCTCCCTACCTAGCTCCTGCTGGCATCTGAGTTTGGGGCCTCCAGTTTACAGCAAGATAAAAAAAAGTAGACACACTTAGAGAGTTTAACTAGTATAAATATGATTAATGGTCACAATAAATCCTAGAGAATAATAATCAACAGAAACAAGAAGGGTATAAGAATATTACCTTCTTGTTGAGGGTCTTCCACCGTGCGTTGACATCGTCAAGGTCATGCTCCAGACCCTGAGTGCTGGTGCCTTTAGCAGCACTCTGAATAAGGCCTTGACCTAACCAGTTTACATCTTGCTGTTTAACCTGCAAGGGTTCAATCTCTTCTTTCTGGAATACCTGCAGTTAGAATAACAATAATGATTTGAATTACAGTTTCTAACAACCACCAAATATAAAATAAACAATTTTTTAGTCATCAGGTATTGGAAACTATCAATTATTACAGAAGTAAAGATAATTTTTGTTAACTATTCATAGCTACCATATGAATAACAGCAAGAGTAGACTAAATATAAATTCAGAGTACTGTCAAAATCATTCAAAAATATTAAAGAAAGATATTCTCAATACATGTAATTCTAAGTGGACTGCTTCATTATCATAGCACTAAAAATTTCCTATTGTCCCAATTTAACTCTAGCAAAAGATTTATGGAAAATGCTAAAGAGCAAAATGATAAGATGGGCCCAAGATGTGCAAAGAATCCTTATAGACTCTACTAAGGATGGTGGCTGCTTGCTGGCAACTGAAGGTTGAGGCTCAAATTGGAAATGTAGAATCATTGACAAGAAGAGGAGGCGAGCCAAGACGCCAAATACATGGTGTGAGCCAAAAACAGGAATAGGAAAAGGAGATACGATATAGGCATGCACTGCAATAGTATGGATCCCGACACATCTAGATCCCTCCATGCCAATCAATATGCCAATAGGCTTCTAAGTAGGAGGCCTCATTCTGTGGACCTGATCACATGCATTCCCAACAGAACAACTCTGGTTACTCTTTGATCATTGCTGCCTATGCCTACACTGCCAGTGTAGGTTTCCAACCCATCTCTCCCCCACTCTCCACCTATCCAATATATGGCCCCCCCAGTTGCCTACAATGGGCAAAGAATTTAATGTGTTACATTAAAATGTAAGTTCCTGAAAGCAGGAAGTTCTGTCTGATTTCCTTGTAGTTCTACACCCCGGGGCTAGAACAGTACCTAACACGTAATAGGTACCCAACAATTATTTGTTGAATGTATGAACATCAGCATAGAAAATTATATTTATATCTTGGGGGTAGATGACGTCAACTTCTTAGCTGATAATTCTGGGGATAGATGACATCACCTCCTTATTAGATAATACAAATGTTTTTAATATAGGACTGAAGGATGTCACAAGGAAAATCAATTATTTTAACCAAGGAAGGAAAGTTTCAGATAGATAAGAGAAGTTTGGGGTTCTGAGTTATTATACTGAAGGGTACTATATATCAATAGTCCAGGACAGTTCAACACAATATGTGAGAACAAATAAAGGCAAACATCAAAATACCACCTAAGCAAAAATTATAGGCACATTATGGAAAATAATTCTGAAAGACATAGAGGCTGCGAGAGACAAACTGTCCAGACTCTGGCTCAAGGCCTAACATGTAGGATACTCCTGTGTTACTAAATGAATCAATAAATGAAGCCACAACAAACAAATAAATGATCATTTCCTCTAAAAGTCCCTTCCTAACTAAGAGCCCAAGCTGCTTCTTGCACAGATAATCCACATAGACAACTTCCACACTGGCTAATTATTTCAGCATAACAAAACTAAATACATATGAAAATCAGTTACACATAATCAAATAAATTATGAGAATTCCCTAAATCATTGAGAAAAGTCATAAGAAGTGTTTATAATTTTTTTAAAAGTTATAATTTACCTAAAAAGTCAACAGAAAGTTGCTGCAAGGTGGTGAGGACAGAATTTGATTCTCTTTCTTTTCTATACCACCTTCTAAGTCACTACTTCTAGGAACTAATAGTTGTGGCTATGTTTTACTACTTACCAAAAAAAAGGGATGGGGTACGTGGAAAAACTGCTAAATTCTTAATTCCCTGACGTTGTATGGTATAGAAAAATTCAGGGTAAATAAAGGTTTCTTCTCCCTCTCATACAGTTTTCAGGATAAAAATTAATCTAATATCCTCATAAATTGCCTTAACCTCTGATCCTGGTTTTAAAGAAATTAACTTTAGGTTGTATATCAGAGGCCTCAGACAGTGAGTTTGTGGTAATTTTCTAAAGTGCTACAAAAAAATATACTGAGGATTAAAAAAAACTATTAAGGAATCTATATACTCCTAACAGTTTAATTACTTTCTACAAATAAACTGCAAAATCCTTTATAGAAAAAAAAAGGTACTTTCTTAATTAAACTTTTAATGCATACTCAAGGAAAGGTCATCGTTGACTATAGCAATTATTTCATGGACTAAGAAGAATTTTTGTAATATTGTTTAGATTCCTTATCTCTCAGTTGTAACAAAACACCTATGAAGAGAGACTTCTTCCCCCTAATCTAACCCATAAGCACATAAAGAGAAGCTTAAAATAAAATAAAATTACCTCTGAGACAAAGTTTACCAGAAGAGTTTAGTATAAGTACCAAAATAGCTGAACTTCAATCGGAGTGGGAAGAAAAAAATTACAGCCTTGACAAACAACCTCTACGTATTACAAGGCTGCACCCTTTAGTTTGTTACCTCATTCACCACTCACAAAAAGTTAAGAGCTATAATGACTGCAAAATACAGCACAATAACTTCTCTACTTCCACGTGAAGAGCTACTGAGAGAAAAATTTCAGGACATTTAAAAAGTCCTTAATTTGGGTAGAGTACTTTGCAGACCACAACAATGTAACACTGTACCTTCATGAATAAGTCTGTTCAAGCCTACTAAATCTAATATAACTGCCCTTAAATGGCAGTGTCTTAAACCACTATTTGTGTAAAAGCCCAATGTTAATATAAATTGACAGTGGAGGCATTTTAAATGAGGAAGAACAGCTAGCCATCTGCACAGGACCCTAAACAGCTGGGAATAATCAATCTTCTCAAAAATGGCCCCTAATCAGTTTGTTATAATGACCAGTTTATCAATAACTGGCATATTGCAGAGTGCTAGTCAAACCTCCAAATAGAAGACTGAATTTGATCATTATAAGAAACACTAGAGGCCACTTTGCTCACAGAACCACAAACTTCTGGCATTTCAGAGTTTCCCATTTCCATTAATTACCTGGACTGACTGAAAGCCATGGCAGACTGTGTCCAATAGTTCTGCCTGAGCCCTTGTTTTTCTGGGAGCTGCTTTCTTTCTTACTGGAATGAATTTCGGGGAGTACTTCATATGGATCACCTCCATATCCTGGGCAGAAAGTGGAGCCTCCACTTCCTCTTTAGATGCTATGTTGGATTCTTCTGAATCATACAGTGTCAACAATGTTACATTTTCTATTAAACTTGTGCTATCACAATCTACATCATTCTTCCCCAGATCTGTGTGATAGAGATCTAAATCCTGAGAAGAATCTTTCACAGGTTGCCTGTTTTGTACTGTGATTTTAGATTCTCCTGATCCATATGACTTCTCTTCTCCAGGTTCAAAAATGTGCTCATTTTCTCCATCTCTTAGCATAACTAATGGGCCACACTCTCCATTGCTCTCTTCCAAATCATTCTGCAGGCATCTATTTTCACCATGGATTTTCCTTTGACCATTTACACATTTTGCTTCCTCTAGTGGAGAAACATCATGTAGAATCATTTTGAAGTTTTCATCAGGATGGGCACTTCTATAGGAAAGCAAGGGGATTTTCTGTTCACTAATGGAATTAACAGAAAAGAAGGGTCTATATTGCTCTGCTATATGAATATCTTCAGCAGAAGACAAGCTTCTAATTCGTGACTGGTCTCCAGTTAAAATTCCCTGTTTGTCTTCCCTCTCTGCTGGAGGGCTGCATAAACCAGAGTCGTCCTCCTCGAAAGTCAGAGAATTAGTACCCCATCTGTACTTGCTGGCCTTGATAACTGCATCTGCTACATCAGTAGGTTCAACAAATGAGCTTTCACTTTTGTTTGCATGATCCATAAAATTGGCCGGAACAAACATTCGCCATGACCTCCTATGCTCTTTCTTTTCTGCATGAGATTTGGCTTTGGATAATCCTGCGGTTCGAATGATATCACTGTTTAGTTTGAGTGCATCAAAGATCATCTTTTCATCAAGTTTGTTAGCTTCACGACCTCTCAACTCAAATACACTGGAAGAAGTAAGGGCACCGTTAGAGCATAGAGAACTAACATCCAGTGTTCTGTGACTGTAGGGTAAAGTCCGATCTGTAAAATGCCTGGAAGACAGGCTACCTTTTGAACCAGAATCTATCTGTTCATTTAGTCTAACAGTATCATAGATTGACCGCTGTGGCACATAACAGTCTTCAATGTTTAGGTCCTCCTCTTCTTCACCCTTCCCTACACACGGGGGATTCTGACGTAAACAGTCTGGTCTGCTGAGTGGCTTCCCCATTTTGTAGATAGTTAAAACAAAAATTGCAGCTCTTGACACAGTAAATAAGAAATAAGGCAAAGCATTTTTTAAAAAAGCATACTTCTGAACTGAACTACGAAGTGTCCTTAGCATAAAGACACATGTTCATATAATATCTGTCATAATACATGAGGTGTTTAGGTCATCATCAGTGCATCAGTATAAATGCAACTATTCTTTCACCTGGCTGTTTTTAGAATGATTCTAAAAAAAAATAAAGTGCATTAAGAACAGAGAACAGAAATCTCCTTCCTCTGCCTCCCCCAACTCCGCAAAGTTCCCTTTCACAAACTCCAAAACACACACACATTTAACAGTGGCTCAAACACTCAGAACATTCCTTTGTCAGCCCATTTCCCTTTTAAATTTAATTTTGCATGTAAGAGATTCAGATTAAAACTCCAAAAAAACAAGCATTCTAGCAGGCTGGAGGTTAATTTTGGCAGACCTCTGGTTAACTGTAATCCACTGAAGGATGGCTTGTAAAACTCCATCTCCTTTATAAATAAACTATGTTTCAGAAACTTAAAAGACAGACACAGGGACCACCTATTGTTCAGATGAAGGCACAGCACAAATCCTCAGGGAAAAATAAGTTAAATCTTACAATTTCTAAGAAAGTTAAAATTTTATTTTTGGGGGGAGTAGCTATAAATAATCTTGATTCAAAAGGCAGTTTTTCTTCCCATATTAAGCTTCTTCGAGGCTATTCAGAACTACCCAAAGGAAAAAAAAAAAT